CTATGCTGATAAACAGAGCTTGGCATTTCCTCAGCCTGCTGCTGTGCTAGTCATCAGCTCCCTTAGCCCCTGGAGGGTGCATGCCACCCCTCCCCCATAGCTGGCATGTGGGACGAGCAATTTCCCATACCCATTGCTTTCCTCCGCTGGAAGCAGGAGACAGTTACAGCCGCATCAAACACCTGCAGCCTGCCTAGGACCGTTCCACCCACCGTGGCCATGGATTATGGTGTTGCACCTGGAATTGTGTCGTGAAGTTCCCAGTTACTCAAATCCATGAATCTCTGTGGCGGCACGAAGCATGCACCCCTTTGTGTGTTGCTGGGGAGTTGGGGAGCACGGTGTGCTGGGTGTTTTGTCCAGCTGAAGAGCTGCAGCTCTGCTTTTGACTGTAATTTGTGACTGAAGGAAGGCCAGATGGCTGTGAGATTGACATTTCGCACTTTGGCAGCACCAAATCCTGAGCACAGTGCTTAGGGAAGGCCTCTAACTGCTCCAAGCCTGGCTGTAAGAGGGTCCAGGTTTCTGCATCACCACCATCCAGCAACATAGGCTTGACAGATCCTGAACTTTGCCTCAGCGCAGAAACATTTTTACTACCTACCCCATAAAAAACCCTGCCACTTACGTGACACTGGCAGGCCATCACCTTCTTCACTCTGCTTGCATGTACGATCCTCGCCCCACAGCACTCGTTCTGTCTTGTCTGTTTGGAGTGTGAGCTCTTCGCGGTACGTACAGCGCCTGGCGTGATGGAACCCACCTGGGGCTGTCAGATACTGCCGCAGTACTTGCAGTGGTAATGAATTGCTGTATCAGAGCATTAAAACACCCATCATAGTCCAGGGCCTGAGGGCTCCCTTCATACACACAGATGTGGCTGGTGCACATGGCACATCACTGCTCCAGTGGGGGCCGGTATCTCTGAGCATGGATCCCCCACGGCAGTGTAGGCAGTGCTCAGACTGACCCCCCCCTTCCCCCCAGGTCCTACTTCAGGGAGCAGCTGGGGCTTCCTGGGTGCCCTTCCAGGGAAGCTTCCCCTGTAGGTGCCCTAAATGCACACATGCTCTAGACCCCACACCCTTCTTGTACCCTCAGGGGGTGGGGAGGCTGCATTTGCCTTGCACCCCTGCCCCGCTCTGCGGGAGGCTTTGTGCTGCCGGGTGCTGTGCAGCCAGGCCTAGGAGCCAGTCTGGATCTGGGAGGGAGAGGAAATGAAGCTGGACACTCGAGCAGAGACCTGCTCAGCTGTCAGCATTGGCCTGCACAGGTGGCCATGGTCTGCGTGCAGGACTTGCCTGGTATGAGGTTCTCTGCAGAAGAGGGGCTTGCCTGCAGGATCCCAGCAGTACCACACCTGGGTGGTCACTAGGGGATAGCATAAGTCAAGCAGCCCCAGCTGGCGGGATGGATGGAGACTCAGAGAAGCTGGCTGTAATTGTGGAATAACCAACCTGCAGCAGCTGGACAAAGACAGGCAGTCTCCAGGGCCCTGGCACTAGCCCGTGGCCAGTGCTGACGACAATCAGGGCCACGTGATGCTGGGCTCTGGGGTTCCAGGCAAGGGCACAGGTGCATGTGGAGACTGTGTGGAGGGGTGAGTTGCTGGTTTGGGGACAGGGCTGGATGTACGGGTGTCTGAGGTGGGCTTTTTGCAGGGAGAGCAGTCTGCCTGCTGCTCCTCCATCCCTGTCCAAGGGACGCATCCCAGGAGCAACAGCCAGCCCTCCCCAGGCCCACCTTTCCCAACCCCTGAGCATTGACCCAAGCTAAACAGCCAGTGTTAGAATCCACATGGGCCAGCTGCGAGGGAGGGAAGCGGCACACACTTTGCCAGTGTTGTGAGCTATTTGTTAGATAACAATAGGAGTTGGGGGACCAGCATTTTCATCCTGGCTCTGAAGGGGAATGTGCTGTGCAGGCAGGGCAGCTCAGGACACATGGCATTTCAGATGCTCAGCATGGTGTGCATGAGACTTACGCTTTTCCTGTTGCAGGTTCTATTTTCACCTCTGCATCAGCTGAGGTCGTGCAGTTGCTCTTACCTTATTTATAAAATGGAAGCTGTGGTTAGACTGCCTTGGAGGGTACGTGTCTGAAGCCTTGACCAATGATCTGGGCTAGGAATTGCACTGAAATATAAAGAAAAGGAGTACTTGTGGCACCTTAGAGACTAACAAATATATTAGAGCATAAGCTTTCATGAGCTACAGCTGTCTGAAGGTGAAGCCCCCAACTAAAACCTCTCCAAGGATCTACAACCTATCCTGAAGGACAACCCATCACTCTCACAGATCTTGGGAGACAGGCCAGTCCTTGCTTACAGACAGCCCCCCAACCTGAAGCAAATACTCACCAGCAACCACACAACAAAAACACTAACCCAGTTGTCCTGTGTTATCCTGGCAACAAAGCCTGTTGCCAACTGTGTCCACATATCTATTCAGGGGACACTGTCATAGGGCCTAATCACATCAGCCACACCATCAGAGGTTCGTTCACCTGCACATCTACCAATGTGATATATGCCATCATGTGCCAGCAATGCCCCTCTGCCATGTACATTGGCCAAACTGGACAGTCTCTACGTAAAAGAATAAATGGATACAAATCAGACGTCAAGAATTATAACATTCAAAAACCAGTCAGAGAACACTTCAATCTCTTTGGTCGCTCGATTACAGACCTAAAAGTGGCAATTCTTCAACAAAAAAACTGACTCCAAGAAGAGATTGCTGAATTGGAATTAATTTGCAAACTGGATACAATTAACTTAGGCTTGAATAGAGACTGGGAGTGGATGGGTCATTACACAAAGTAAAGCTATTTCCCCTTGTTTATTTCCCCTCCTACTGTTCTTGTCAACTGCTGGAAATGGGCCACCTTGATTATCACTACAAAAGGTTCTCACCACCCCGCCCGCTGGTAATAGCTCACCTTACCTGATCACTCTTGTTACAGTCTGTATGGTAACACCCATTGTTTCATGTTCTCTGTGTATATAAAATCTCCCCACTATATTTTCCACTGTATGCATCCGATGAAGTGAGCTGTAGCTCACGAAAGCTTATGCTCAAATAAATTTGTTAGTCTCTAAGGTGCCACAAGTCCTCCTTTTCTTTTTACGGATACAGACTAACACGGCTGCTACTCTAAAAACTGAAATATAAACAGCTGAGAGGTGAGGCTGGAACCTTCCCAGCTTAGTGCATGGTCACCTCACCTAAAGGGAATTTGGAGAGTCTCTCCCATACCACAGTGACCAACTTTGCAACTTAGTGGAACGAAACTCAAGTGTACCTGAGCCCTCTGCTCCTGTACTATGCCCCTGTCTCTGAAGGCCAGGGTTTGTAATCCCAAGCCACACTGATACATGTAAAGCATTTCCTCCTGACTAATCGTGGGGCATCCAGAATGCCAAAGGGATTAATAATTTACCACTGGTTGCAGAGCTGCCTCCTGTCACAAGCCTTGCAAATGCATGAACATGGTATGAGGGCCTTGCATAGTTTGTTACCTTAGAGCTGTCTGAGGCAAATTCAGAGATTTCAGCAGCCTTGACAAATATCAGCTGTTTTCTCAGAAAAATGCAAGCATTGTGTGGGCTAGGTTGAATTTCCTGTGCCATGGACTGCCATCAGCCTTAGATATGAATGAGGAAACATACTTCCTAGCCTATTTTACACACAGAAGGATCTACCTGTGAGTGCTCTTATCCAGCTAGTATAAATTGGGTCAGTCTGGCAATTACACGTGGCCGAACTCCCCCAATCTCTCCAGGCCTTTGCAGAGATGCCCGGAGAAAGAAACGCTCGGTCAAACTGCATGGTAGATAAAAGGAAATACTTTTCCCCACATAAGAAGCCTGGGGAACTAATTGCCACAAGATCTGAAGAGCTAAGCAGGACTCAAGAAAAAGGATCATCTGTTTATATGGATGAGGGGATGTCTATAGTTACATTAGACAGGGTTTTAAAAAAATGAGGCCAGGATACACCAAGATCTGCAGAAGGGGGGAAGGAGGACTGGTCACGCCATAATTGCTCAGTGGCGGTTCTTGCCCCTTCCTCTGAAGTGCTAATCACGGTCCGAGACAGGAGCCCAGCTCTGATCCAGCCTCTGAGAACTTGCTTCCTCCAATCTCACTGTCGGACTAACAAGGATAATGTCACTGTTCATTTGTCGTTGATTGTATTTGAATGCAGGTGTTAAGTGACCCAAGCGGCTGGCACAGGCTTCAGGTAGACAAATATGTAGATTTGGCTGATCTATGTCTGTATGGAAAATCATCAGCGACAGCCTAAACCAGCCTGTGGCTTCAGTGGAAGACGCTACATGCTGACACGCCTGAAAATCAGGCCATGTAAGAGCTACCGAAGGATTAAGGCCCTGATCCTACAAACACTTACCCACATGCTTAATTTCACACACATGAGTAGCCTCACTGAACTCACTTGGCCAGATTCTCATTTATACTAAGGCCCCTTGCTGGCAGTAGGAAAGGGCTTTAAAATGAGTAAATTACACTTACACCCAGTGAGCAGCCTTAGTGTAAATAGGAATAAGGCCGAATGAGAGTGCCTGTGTGTGTTTGTGACACCTAACTTTAGGTACCTGTCTTTGATGCTATTGGCTTGCAGCAGTATGGTCTAGTGGACAGAGTGCTTAATGGGGACTCAGGAGACTTGGGTTTTAGATCTGGCTCTGCCACTGGCCTGCTGGGTGACCTTGGGCAAGTCACTTCCCCTTCTGTGCCTCAGTTTCCCCACCTGTAAAATGTAGCTAACACTGCTGACCTCCTTTGTAAAGCACTTTGAGATTTCCTGCTGCCAAGCACTATGCCAGGGTCTATATTTAATCTTTTATGTTCATGTAATTAAAAAGACAAATGCGAGTTGAATGATACAAAGAACTTTAAATGGCAAGAACAAAGAAAAAGGAGGAAGTGTCAGCTGAGTTGCATTAAAATCAGCATTAAGTCCCTCTGTGGGCCCGACTCTGCATGAGTGCCCCATTGGGGGGTCTGTCCCCTCACGCACAGCGCTTGGCCAGATTAGGCCCCACAAAGAAGCCCATCGTTAAGTTGTCATCTTGAGTTCTTTAAAAAACAAATCAAACCCAAGTTTTAACTGAAACTTCTTGGCAGTTCTTCCTGGACAGCAGTTTTCCATTTTGTAACTTGTCTTGTAGGGGAACTGGGAGGATGCTAATTGCATTGTCCTAAGAATAGGAGTCCCTTTTTTCTTTTTCTTTTTTTGTGTGGCTATAGACACCAAATGAAGCTTGCTGCATTCGGGGAGATTTTCCATTGCTCAGTCTGTTTGAATATTTTTACCTCCAGGGTTTCTAAAGCGACACTCTTGAGCAGTTCTTTCTTCAAGTGCTTCCCTTCTAGCAGATCAGGTTTTGCTGTCTGGCATTTAGGCAGGCAGTTATTTCCTTGAGCCATAATAATATTCAAAGGGGATCCCAGCAGCAGCTGTGCAGCACCGCCTTGCCAGGAATCATTAAAACAAAACCTTTCTGCACAAAAGAGGGGTGTAATTAAATAGATGGGCTCACACCCACCCCACCCACACCCTTGTGTGCTAACTGCAAGCTAGCGGCAGCGTAGACACTAAAGCACTCAGGTGCACAAAGCCCTGTCTTTGCCTTGTTCCCATTTGATTCCCTTTCTGATCCCTCTGGAGAGGGAAATTCCTCTACCAAGATTCCTACCACCCCCAGCTGAAAACAAACAAAAAGAAACAATCTCAAGAGGGCTGGGCAAAAGATACAAAGCTCTCCAAGGCGGTGGGACTCCTCCTCTTGACAACTGACTTCTCCTTTAAATGTCTGCAAAGGCAGGCTCCAGCTAGAGTTGCTTTTGTGGCTGCTGGGGGAAAGTCTCCTTCGGGCTAGGGCACTGGCCTCTCCGAGGCTCACCGGCCACATGTGCCAGCTGACACAGGCAGTTCCTACGCTTCCTCTTTTCTGAGCCTCCCACCTCTGTGCTGATTTTTGTGCTTCCTTCTGGAAACCTTTCCTCTACCTAATGCCAGCTAAGAGGCCAGGCGGAGACAGGGATCAGCCGGCACGTGTGGCCGGGAGGAGAAGCAAAGCGGAAGGGCAGGCTGCGTGGCCAGTTCTCAGAGGAGCAGTTGAAGCTGTGAGGCTCCTACAGTGAAAGCCTTGGCAGAGTCCTGCTCCTGGAAGTGCTCAGGGGGACGGGGGTGGGGGAAAGGAGGGAGGGTGTTTACATCCAGGATGAGGAGGTCTCCAGAAGTGGTTGTCATGTGAGCTGGCTATGAGAAATTGGAGTGGACTCCTGAGCAGACCCCTGCCTGGGGTCTGAAGACAGGAGGGCAGGAGTGTCCTTGTGCATGGAGCCACTGAAGAAGGCCCCCTGATGTCTGCTTTGCTGGTGGTCTGGGCTGTGCTCCTGCACTCGGGGTTCACCAGCTACCTGGTCAGCGGAGGGACGTCATGGCGACATTGCACAGGTAGGAGCAGCTTGTCTTGGGAGTTAGTACAAGTTGTCTGATAAGCAATGATTAGCCATCTTGCTGGTGGGGGTGGGGAGCTGGGTGTGGAGGAGCTTGCAATCCAACCTCTGCGCTCAGCGCTGCCCTTCCAAATCTGGGAGATCATCACAAACGTGTCAAACATCCCTCCTCTGGAAGAGCCACAGCTGCAGTCCAGGGACCCTGATGTGGAACTACACCCAGCATGGCTCTGCCATTGACAATATCCTCCGGCGCTCACCCTTCAGTGCTGACTCTGATTTAGGGCCGAATGAAGCTGGCGGACATGCCGGATATTTTGGGTCTGCCATGAGTCCTGTTTGCCCGGGAACTTGATCCAGCGAAGTGTCCTAATCCGCGCTCAGAAGCACAGCTGTGTTTGTTTCCTTCTCCCTCGAGGATCTTGTGCTGCCTTCTCTGGACGGTTTGCTCTGCTTTAGTTTGGCTTCCAGTCACAACGATCGGAACCTCAAGTCAATGGCTCTTGCAGTTTTTGCAGAAACAAATCCCCATGCTGTAACCTGTGGATGGAAATTTGTAAAAGCAGGTGGGGCATGTGACTGAGCCAGAGCTAAGTGAACTGCTGGGTCTGCTTGTGGGCTTTTGGCTCTGCAATTTATTAAAGATGACCTGATTTATCTGCTAACGAGCTGGCTTTGGCACCATACCAAGTATTGTGATGAATAGCATGTGCCCTGCCATTCATCCAATGACCTCAGCTAAAAATAAGGGAGGAAATCAGGCAATCCAGGCCTGGAGTATTACAGCTGCCGTTGGCTGGGGGCTGCAGAAGATGTGGCCAATAATTACACGGATTTAATCTGCCAGGATAGGCTGTTATCGCCATGGCCTATATTGCTGTAGGAGAGTGTGTGAGGGTTGTAAGCAAAGGACTGAGGCAACTGCCAGCCTCCTGGATTTGCTGGTGTAAAAGGAGAGTAGGGCTATTGATGGTGACTAGGGCTTTGTTTGGGCCAGCTAGAGCCATTTCAGAACCCAGCCCAAATGTCCTCCATCCTGAACTGTCATCATAGCAACTGACCTGGGTGCTCATCTGGCCCTCTGAGCATCGCCATCATTAATGGGACTTGATCCTTGCAGACCCTGCCTCCTGGGAGGGTATGTGTGTGGGGTGTTTGGTCCCCATTTAGTAGGCAGGGAACCACAACACAGGGCGGATGTTATCACTTGGCAAGGTCACCCGGGAAGTCCGTGGCTGAAGCGAGAATGAAAGCTGGGTCTCCCTAGGCTCTAGCCCTTTGCCCATCTTTCCAGTAGGGGCTAGTTCCAGTTCCTCCCATCAGCAAATCTCCCCAGGGACTCCGGAGTCCCATACTGCAAGGTGATAGCTGACAAAGATGGAGTTCCTGGTAGGGCTGTGGCAGCTGGGAGTGGGCAGGCTGGATGGGGGCATGGAAGGGGGGAAGAGTGGGCAATATATAGCACATGTTAGAGGAGGAGGAGGAGTGGCCCTTATGGGGCTGCCACTTTGTTCTCCTGCTTCCAGTGGCATCCTCTGCTTGCAGAAAGCCGTGAATACAGCGTGGCAGGGACAAGGGGCAAGGGGCTGCCCATGTGCGGGAGGAGAGCTGCAGGGAAATACAGCTCGGGGGGAATCAGGACTCGGGCAGGTTGTGAGGAGTGTGTGGAGGGGGGTGCAGGGTGGGATGGGGACTCTGGCTGGATGCTGCTGGGGGGCAGAGGGATGGAGTGTGGGGAGTGGGATCTGAACCAGCACTGTGATGGAGCAGAGACGGGGCCTATGGCTGGGAGCTGGGGAAAGGGAAGATTGCTGAGTGGAACGGGGGCACAAGGAGGCCAGTGGGTGATGGGGACTGGCCATGATAATGGAGGATGGGAAGTGGGGTGGGAGCAGGACTGACAGTGCTTTGTGCTCAGGGGGTCCCTAGCCCCTCTGGCAGGAGACCTGCCATGGGGAGCCAGTGGGCAAAGGGAAGGCTGAGCATTTCTGCTGCACGGCAGCCACAGCTGATTAACTAGTGGGGCCGCTTAGTGATGTGTCCCCATCCAGCCAGGCCCCAGCAGTGCCCCCAAGCTGGGTGTGGGGCAGCAGGGCAGGTGCAGGTGATGATGTCTGCCTGTCCCTGTCCCACTGCTGGGGTCTGCCAGCTCCTCAGCCCAAAACCCCATTGCCTCCTTGCTTCACGTGCATGCTGTGTTTACAGTGTCGGGTGCAGCAAGGCTGACATTGGGGTGCTGGGGGTCTGGAGGGAGGGGCAGCACCAGATTGTGTCTTGCGGTTACGTTAGGTGAGAGTAGCCCTGGCAGATAGTGGCGCTCACTCTTCAGACTGTGTACAGACCTGCAAGACACTGCTGAGCCCAAAGGTTTAGTGGCAACACCCCTTGTAAATGCCAGAGTAGATCCTGATCTGCCGTGCATTGTGTAGGTCCTGTATGAGGCGGGGCCTGAGCTGTGTGCCCATGGCAGGTCCATGCCATTGAGCCCATATGCGCTGGTTCAGGTCCACACACTGGGAAGAGGTTTGAATTCCTTTCTGGACAGGCTGTCCCTGGAATCCTTTGCTGTGGCACTGCTGGAGTTAGTCATCTCTGCCAGGGGAGAGTCAGGGCTCATAGTGAGCCCACAAGTCTGAGCCTGCTGTGTGTAATAACAGTGCAGAGCGTTTATCATCTTTAAGTGCTTTGCAGGCACCGAACACCCCTTCCAACAGCTCCGGGAGGTTCCTAAGTAGGTGCTATTATCCTCACTTCACAACTGGGGAAATTGAGGCAGAGATTACGTGTTTTGCCCAAGGTCACAGAGAAATCGGTGTCAGAGCCAGGGTTAGGCTCCATTCCTGCTGCTCAGGGCTGGGCGCATGCTCTCGCTTCATGATCATCTTGGAATTGGAGTCAGTTCTGTCCCTGCTGCTCCGGCAGCTAAAGCAAGGAGTGGCGGCTGCATTCACAGCGCACTATCTGAGCGGATTCATGACATGCTTAACACAAGGCCTAAATGAAAACACTAAGAACGGAAGGGTAAGGAAAGCAGCCCTCAATACCCAGGCCTTGCCCAGACAGCAGCAGCGTCCTTGCAGGGAATGGGTAACACGACCTAATTTGTATTGCAAAATTGCAGAGTGGATGTTTCCAGCTGAAGAGGTTGCGGTGCTGGGGCAGGCTGGTAGTGCTGCGATTTGGAGCGCCGTCTTGTGAGCTTGCTGTGCGCTGGGTGCCATTCTAGTGCTGCCCCTAGGATGCGGGGAGAGCTGCTGGGGGATCCCATTCACAGAACCTTCTCCACAGCTCTACTTCTGCATATGGGGAGGAGACCCTGATGGGTGGGAGGGGCAGAGATGGGGAGGAGGCTGGGAGGAGACCATTTTTATGCCAATGTTACGTCACTCAGCTCTCAGGGGGTTTGATGGCCCATGGAGGCAGATGTGCATCTCAACCAGGGGAGGAGGTCTAGCCATGCCCACACACCTTAGCGCTGTGACCAGTGAGCGGAGAACCCCAGCACAGGGTGGTACCCCTGCCTGCAGGACCTGCCCTGTAGCTGGGGCCAGTGCCCAGGCCAAGGGAAGGGCATGGGAGCACTGTGGGGTGGCGCTCAGAGCAGTGAGCCGGAATGATGCCTGTGGGAGGCACGGGACACTGCTTGCAGAGGCAGGAGCAGGGCTGGGAGCTGGCATCCCAAGGGCTGGGCTTGGTGCTGGTGGTGCCTTTCTGGGAGGCCGGTTCTGCACCCAGCTTGTGTTGTGTTTTTGGTCTGAAATGCCCCGACTGGGGGAAGGGAGAGAAGGGACAGAGCATAAAGGGTGAATTGGTGCGCAAAGGAAATGGGGTTTCCTAGATATACCCCTCAGAAACGCGTAGCCGGCTCTCCTCTTGGTCTGTCTCATGGTGGTTTGAGGCAGCTCTGGGGTGCTCAAGGCAGGCTGGGAACTGGGCTTCCTGGCCCGTGAACGTTCCTGCGGTTTCGGGTCTTGTCTTGTTCTTTGTCAGGATGGACGCGCGAGCAGAGCTTCCTGTGATTCAGGCCGTGCGGGACCCAGGTACAAGAGCCAGCGCTGCCTGATTCCGACCAGGCCCTTGAACCTTGCTCCTCCATATCCCAGGTGCCCAACCTAGTCCCCTGGATGCTGGCTGGTCTAGGGACAGTGACTGGCTTTCTCTGGCCACACATTCCTCCCTGGACCTGACGCAAATTTAGTCCAGACTGAGACTGGTGCATTCCTGCCAAAAGATTGTTCTGGCAAATTGGCATTTGACAAAGGAGGTGGGGGTGGGGGCGGGGTTGGGGGCGGGAGAGGAATGGGACTGGCTGGGCCAAAAGCCAGGGAAGGGATGGTGTCGGGAGGCTGAGATTGGATGAGGAGCCCAAGGAGGGAGTCTGGGACTGGGAGCCAGTGGTGGGGGAGGGGAAAGACTGATCAGGCCAAGAGTTGTGAGCAGGGAACCGGGACTGGCAGGGCAAGGGGAATGGGATTGGGATGTGAAGCCTGAGAGTGGAGACTGGTCCTGGGTAAGTAAGGAGAATGGGACTGAAAGAAGGAGCCAGCGGTGGGGAAGAGCTGGATTGGGACAGGGACAGATTGGAGGGGCCAGGGCAGAAGGGGAAAATGGGCAGAAGAGTCTGTGACTACTAGAGCACACTCCCCTCTAGAGCATGAAATGGAACCTCAGATGCCTATGAACTCAGACTGGCTATGAAACCTACTGGCATCCAGATGGCAAAGTGCATGTTTTGTTCCCCTTTAGTGCTGGTCCACACAGAGGATAACAACCTACTACATCTCTCAGGTACTCTGTTAGCTTGAGCGACAGAGCTCTGTGCAGTGGATCTAACAGTTCCAACCCTGCTGATTAATCATGTGGGTGTCAATACAATGCCACAAGATGGAATTTGGTGTATGCATTATGAGACAGTTTTTAAATACATGATCACCTTCTATTTTTCCCACAGGACCCCTACCTCATTCAGGGCACAGGACGAAGTTGCTCTGGGGATGA